GCCTTCAATTTTACTCCAGTAATTTTGAATATAAAATTCTTTTTTATAATTGAGACATGAGAAATGTAGACATCATTATTCAAATAAATATGCGTCTCTCAGGGAAAACATAACTCAGATATCATTAACAATAATTTGAAACTCTGGGATAAATCTATAATAATTATACAACACAGATTCTGAAAGGACCAGTGCATAGACAAAAATAGAAGAATCTGATGAGGTGGATGAGGATGATAACAAGTGTTCGGGTTTTGCCTACTGCTGTGACAATTTAAAATAGTATTACAATTATGTAGGGTACCACTGTTTACAGAAGACAGAGAGAGAACCCTTCAGGTGGACACATATTAACTTGTTTCTAAGCTTTGAAATACTTTTTAATTAAAGGCAAAATTGAATCACTATTACAAAAAAATGAACTTTGTTAACATTTAGGATCCACACTTTCCAATTTTACCCTTAATAAAATGATGAATAATTGTGTTCAAATTTATTCATGTCAGTTAATAAGCAATCAAATTATGTGCAATTTTTTAAAAACTATTTTGTCATGTTTTTATAGTTAATTAAATTTTAAAGTTATTTTTAATTGTTAAGGGGGTGGAAAATTATACTTAATATTTCTGTAATAATCTTTTTAACTTAATTTAAGATAATGAAGTATCCATAAGACTTAGTTTATCAAATGTGATTTTTCTTAGCAGTTGAATCTTAGAATCTTATAAATGACTTTTAAATCAGCCTCCTTCTAAAAGAAAGACTACCCTTTATATTTTGATGTAAGAAGCACAGCACATTATTTAAAATTTCTTTGAATAATTTTTGGTTTTTACACTTGGAACAGGTATTAGAGAGAGTCTCATTAGGATTCCTAATTATAAAAATGTGGAATAAAACCTAAATTTTTTGAATTGAGGCAAATATATTGGCCTAATTAGATACCTGTTCAACCTTTTATCCCATTTTAGTTCTTTAAAATAAATTCACAATTGTTATAATTACTAAAATTTATCCTTGTCAAATGCTGTTGACACAAAATTTTAAGACTATCAGCTGTATAATATAATAAATTAACAAAGAAATTACTTATTAATTTTTCTTCTACTTTTTCCACTGTAAAATGGAGTAAAGTGAGAATCATTTACATTTTAATTTCTGAAATATTTGGACCTCTTTACTATTGAAATTCTAATCTTGACTTCTGAAAATATTCTGTTACACAATCTTTTAGGAACAGTTTGTTGAAATCTAGATCATCTAATATTTTTCTCAATAATCTCTTTATTTTGTATTTGACAACCACATACATTTATTGAACTTCTGTATGCAGCCACTGGTATGGGCTCTTGGATGGATTTTATAGGAAGACTTGAGTAATGTCAAACACAGGAGTGAAGGGAAGAAGAAAAAAAATGATTTGCCAGTGAACTAATTCATAACTTTTTTTCAGACTTTCACTGCTAAACTCAAGTCAGTTTTCAATAAGGATGTTAAAAATGGGAATTCTACAGTTCCAATTCAGACCTTTGAGGGTAATTGTCTTATACAGTCTCCTTTTAAACCTCATAATGCTTATTTAGAGTGGCTGTTTGCCTCCCTCCCAGCTAGCATTAAGTAAATCTTACCAAATATTTTCTTCTGTCAAACAGATTAAGAGAGAGAGAGAGAGAGAGAGAGAGAAGACCACAGCAAGCAGCAGGTGCCTCACACACAGAGTCCACCTAGCAA